GAAAGTCTGCAGGCTTATTCAGTGACAAAAACTCAGAGGTTTACTGTCTACAACACATTAGTGGTCTCCCTCCAATTAGCCCATTCTTGCCTGAGACAGATATTAGCAAAAACTACACTCTCCCACCATCGCACACCAATACAAAGGATCAAGGTCCCAGCTCCTCTTTTCTACAGATCAAGTCACATTACTAAGCAAACAATGGTGACTAAAATAAACTTCATATTACAGGCCTTTTGTATCTCAGGCTGTGCTGTACTTCTCATTCTCCCTAATATGTACATTTCTTTTCTTTCTCATGAAAGTACTACACTATTCTGTGCTTGATTCACCTGCCTCCCCTTCTTGGCAGTACTGCACATCTTGCAGCATTTTGTTATCTCATTTCACATTGTGAATGTGTATTCTGATTAAACTTGTGTAAGCTGTATGCAGGGGTGTATCTAAGTAGGGGCATGTTAGGGGGGAGGGGAAGTGGTGCATTTGATTCCTGCACCAAAGTTTAAAACTAACTGCTTGGCAGTATCAGCATCATTTTTAGGCAGGTAGCAGTAAGGGAGTCAATTGACTTCATAGGTCATTAAAATCTGCCTCATCCCTTTGAAACTCTTTATTCTACAGATATTAATGACCTTCTTTTTAATGGTCTTGATGTTCCACAAATCAAGCTATCATTTCTTCTGCAATTCTGCTGTTTCTTAGGTTCTCCTAGTAAAGTACCACTATTTCAAAGGCTTGCAAACTGTTTTTAGCAATTTCCAAAAAAGTTAGTGTAGTATTTGCATCCATCTTAAATTGCATAATATAGTTCCTGAATCCTAGCAGATTAGCCAAGCTTCTAGTTTCTTTTTACCTGGAAAAAAAGTGTTGTTATATGTGATGTTGCACCTCACCATGTGCACCCTTCTTTTCAAAACACTAGAACTGCCCGTAGCAGTTTATAGGTCACTCACTGCTCAAGCGAGGCCTATTTTGATTAGTGCCTTAACAGAACCTTTGTGTGGGTAGTATATGTGCTAATCAGTGCTCCAGTACAGACTACAAAATCAAGTTTTTGCATGGTTAGAGAGATGGTTGCTACCCCAGAAGAACAGAATCTTTGATTCCAGCACATGCACAGTTCCTAATAGGGAAAAGTAATTCCCACTGCTGTTTCCCTACTTGATGAGTATTCAATGCATGGTGCAGGGGCCAGTTTCAAGAGGCAACCTGGAGACTGCACTGGTAAATGCATAGCTTCTGTCCTGAAGGGGCACTCCAAGTCAAACATCCTAGACAGAACCACTATCAAGCCATTCTGAACAAGTAGACTACTTCATAGTTTCATAGATGTTAGGGTTGGAAGGGACCTCAGTAGGTCATCAAGTCCAATCCCCTGCTCTGGGCCGTAAAGAGTGCTGTGGTCAGACAATTGCAGCTAGTTGCTTGTCCAGTCTCTTCTTGAAGACCCCCAAGGTAGGGGAGAGCACCATCTACTTTGGAAGCCCATTCCAGATTCTGGCAACAATTACCATGAGGAAGATCTTTCTAGTGTCCAACCTAAATCTGCTCTCCATCAATTTGTGGCCAATGTTCCTAGTTACTCCAGGGGATGTCCTAGTAAATAAAGCATCTCCTATTCCCTGCTTCCCTCCCCTGATTAATTTATAGGCAGTCAAAAGATTTCCTCTTAGCCTTCTCTTGTGAAGCCTGAAGAGATCTAAGTCCCTCAGTCTCTCCTTGTAAGGCCTTTCCTGCAGGCCTCTGACCATACCAGTGGCCCTCTTCTGAACACTTTCAAGATTGTCTGCATCCCTCTTGAAGTGCAGTTCCCAAAACTGGATGCAGTACTCCAACTGTGGCCTGACCATTGCCACAAAGAGGGGAAGCATCAACTCCCTGGACCTGTTTGTCATGCATCTGCTAATGCATGATAAAGTGTGGTTAGCCTTGTTGATCACTTCATCACATTAATGACTCATGTTCATCTTGGAGTCAACTGTGACTCCAAGATCCCTTTCTGCCGCTGTGCTGCTGAGAAGGTCATCCCCCACCCTGTAACTGTGTTGGTGGTTCTTTTTGCCCAGGTGCAGCACTTTGCACTTGTCTTTGTTGAACTGCATCCTATTTCATTCTGCCATTTTTCCACCCTGTCCAGATCCATGTGGATCCATTCCCTACTCTTTGGTGTGTTAACTTTGCTCCATAATTTGGTATCATCTGTGAACTTGGACAGGGTGCTCTCCACGCCCTCATCCAAGTCACTGATGAAGACACTTCTGGGACAACATTCTGCCAAGTGGGAAGAAGTGAGGGGAAACTCTGAGTGACTGTGAACTCTTAATTTGCCATGATGGATCTTTAATGTTCTGTTATATCTTTCTACAGAACATATTTGTAAATGCCTTTCATTCTAACTGTTGGGCTTGACACCCCTTGATGTGTAGGATTGGGATGGGACCTGGGGTTGGGAGGTTGATATATGGGGTTCTGAGTTGGGAGTTCATGAGGGTAGGCTTGGAGAGGGAGACTGAAGCATGTGGTCATGTTTTTGGAGTTTCCAAAGGCTGGTGGGAAGGGGAACTGAGGCACAGGCTGCTTGCTAGGTGAGTCAGTGTTGTGAACAGCTCAAGTTGAGGAAGTACAGGTGAAGGAAGAAAGTGCATTACTGTGCAAACTTTATTTCCTCAGGTAAACATGAGATCAGCATCTGAAGATGCAGGCCTCATCACAAGCAGGTCTGCTAATCTTACAACTCTTAATGCGGTTAAAACTGCATTAAATGTGGAGTGTTTTGGTGTCCAACCAAGTCTCTTGTCTACAGATCTGTCCGCTGTCTGGTGTTGGGGGAGGCAGGGGCCACCCTGGTAGTGCTATGGAATACAGACATCCCCATCCCACCCCACAGTCTAAACTGAATGTCTCCAATGAGATATATAAAGGCATCTCCAAGGGCAGCTCTGACTTCACTGTTCGGCCCTTGGCTGGGGGCCCTGGGTCCATCATTTCATCTCCTTATCAAAACCCAGGCATATTTTTGTGGCACTGCCCTCCTGCTGCACTGGTGCAGGAACCTGAGAGGGTAGTGACATGTTCTGTCACCCTGGCAAGGCAAGGGCCACCTCTGATAGGTTGTTCAGTGGACCTATCCCTCACACCTCCACTTCCTGCTTGGCATCCAGCCATGCTGCGGGAATGCGGGGTACAAGGATCTGACTGGCCAGGGGAACTGTAATATGGAGAGGCGTGAACCCAGGGCACCTGGCCAGTCTCCCCATATTCCCACTGATCAGCTGGGGGCAACTGCTAGCCAGGATGAGGACGATGGGCAGGAGGTGGCCAGTCTCGATGGTAGCTCATGCTAGCATGTGTCTGGTGCCATTTCCTCTGCTTGGGTAGGGGAGGGTAGGTGACTACAGGTACTTTTGCCTCACTGTCATGGCATGGACATACTCCTCTGCAATAGTAGTTCCCCTAACCAGGAAAGACTTGCAAGACTCTGCAATGGTAGCCACCCTGCCCAGGAAGCATAAGCCTGCCTCCATGGTGCACCAGAGGGACATGTTGGTCTGGAAGGCTGGATCCTGGACTTTCTTTGAGCCCCTTACCAGTCTCTTTAGGAGTTCCAAGACCTGGATGTCCTTAGCAGCAGAAACTAGAAAAACAGTTCTTAGTGGTTACTTAACAGGTCCTTCTGGCACTTGTAGTCAGCATGCCAGGTGTTGGGGTGGCAGCTGGGCATGCCAGTGACTCAGTGAGGCCCTCCAGCATTGGATCTGTAGCCCTATCCTTCATGGCCTCAAGGCAGAATCAGTTTTGTGCAAAAACAAGTTCTGAGGAATTATGAAAGGAGAAAACTTGAGATTGTTTTCAAAGTTAACACATAACATGTGTGTGACTCCTAAATTTCCTGTTCAAACATTGACAGGTGTGCAGATAACATTTCATAGAAAGAAGAACACACCTAAGATTTGAATGGGGTGGGGGAGTTGGGGGGTAAGCCCCCCCCAGAGATAAGATCCCCCCTTATAAGATTTGGAAATGATAACCTGGGAGGTCTCTGATTTTGTCAGGGCATCATGATGGGTAGTCCAATTTTTTTGGCAGATGCTCCCAAGAATCAAAGTGTAATTTGGACCCTGAACAGACCTTGAAATTGTTGAAAACTCCTCATACAATATAAAGGGAATTCTGGTTGATCTTGCTAAGCCCACTTATTTCCATGTGCCAGCAAGACAAGAGCAGACCTGCATCATATTATCCCCATGGTTGAAAACTGTGGTACAGTGTGAGACTTGGAGCAACACTGGCATCCAGCCCCCAAACTTCACAGGAGCTACATCAAGGCTTCAATACTGTGAGAAAGCTGGGAATGACACCAACACAGCACAAGAGCCAATCCAATGCCCACCACCACACACACACATACACACCAAATCACATGGGATCTTTGAACTATCTCCCATGTGGAGCAGGGACTGGTACTTGCTCCAGTGCCGTGTAGTTGTCACTCCCAGTCCCCATGACATGTTGAAGCCTTGAACCAGCTCCAATGCAATCTCAGGGCTGAGTGTCATGGTAACATAGTAAAGTTAGACCTTTTCCAGTGAGAAGCATCTCTGTAGCCATCGTTTACTATGCTACTGTAAAGTAGCAACCTAGCGCTAGAACACCCTAGCGCTTTTACCAGGAGGCAGGTCAGCCCTTTTAAAGCCAGAACTTTCTGGGCAGTGTGTGAACACCTTGCTGGGGCCATTTGACCCCAGTGCTCTTTCCTGCCATGACAGGGGGTCAGACTTGATGATCTGTCAAGGTCCCTTCTGACCCTCCAAACTATGAAACTATGAAACTATGGTAAGGGGGGAAGGAGTTAAAAACTGGGCCTGGCCTGATAGTCAGCTGACCAGAAGTGGGCAGGCCAGGACTATAAAAAACCCTGAGCTGGCTGGCAGTAGGGGCCAGTAGCCAAAGGGGAAGGAGTGCATCCAAAGAGTGAGTCCCAGGGTTCCCTGGAGAGACTTGGAGAGCAGTCCAGTGGCTGCAGGAGGGGGAACTACTGAGGACTCCCGGAGAAGCGGCAGTAACCCACAGGAAAAGGATTGTAGCAAATGGTAGGAGAGCAGAAGCATGATCCCCTGAGAAATTGTAAGCTAGCATGCTGCCTTCTTTATTCATATTGTCTTGGTGCCGGTTATAGCCTATGAACAGGACTGTTCATATTTTTTGTAATTGAGTAACACTGGTGTTTTGGATGATGTTATTGGGGAAGTAGGAGGCCTCATTGGGACCCCACTGCAGCATAGGGACCCAGCACCAGTGTGGGTGCAGGATTTTGGGGTGTACTAACCCCAGCCCCAGATAAGGCACAGTATTTGGGGTATACAGACCCCAGTGCCAGAGGGCTAAATCCTAAAATGCCAGTATGGTCTGGTGCATTTGAGGTGCAGTTTTTGCTTTTCTTTGGACTGTAACAGTGTGGGTCCAGGTTTGTTCCCCAGACTTGAACTTGTAACCAGATGACTGGAGGGCTGGTGGCCTGGCCTTTAGGCTAGGACGGCTGAGCTCCAGGTTAGAGCAAAAAGGAGGGTCATGAGCCTCAAGACAAGAAAAGAAAAGGCTAGAGCCTCGTAATCAAACCCTGTCTGGTGGGTTTATACGGGGAGGCCTAGCTAGAGAAAGGATGGGGTCAAGGCCTGTGGAGGCGGAAGACCCCAACATACAAAATACAATAGGCAGTCTCCCACTTACAAGAACATCAGTATAATAATTTCCATCAAGACATGGCAGAAAAGTAGAGAGCAGGATGCAAGAACATTAAAGGGGGACTCCAAGGGTGCCTCACGTAAGGCACGGATAACAGGGAAGGTGGCGCTGGGGAGGGCAACCTTTTACAGCTACCTTAGCACTTAGTATGAGCTGTACTGCTTGCACACTCAGTTCTGGACAGTCTTAGTTTGAGGCTCACACCAGATCTGTTTCAAGACTCCACTGTACTACTATGATCTCTATTTAGATTGTAAAAAGCATTAAGGTGTGACTTCTCAGAAAACTTTTAAAAGTTGTATTAATGCTTAATATGTTATAGATATAACATTTGTAAGTGTAATGTGTAATTAGGCCTAATTAATCTGTGGATACTTTAAATTTCCCTGGAGAGTATTCTAGGGCTAACTGGATTTTCTGAGTGATACAAGAAAGAAGTAACTGCCAGTCATATTCTTGCCCTCATAGAGAGTGAAACTGGGCAAGGCTACATGTGCTATTAATGCTATAAAGGCTTACTGCACAGTAAAATACGGTGAAGGAAGCCTTCTGTGGAGCAGGTCTACATCTCCCCCTTATTGGGAGTAATATGCTCCCAATGAAAGCAACCTGTTACAGGGCTTCCCTGATCTGCCTTCCTGCAGCAGCCAGGGGGAGCTCCAGGCTCCCCCAGGGTGCTAGGGGGTTAGGAAGAGGGTTCAAGCCTGATGCACACAGGGCCAGAAGAGCTCTGCTGACTGCAGTAACAGCTCTTTCTTGGTCCTACGCACATTGGGAGGAGTCCTGATGTGCACAGGGCCAGGAGACAGTTGCCACCGTAGAGCTTCCCTGGCCCTGTGTACAGAGAGATGAGCCCTGTGTCTAGCAGGGATCCCCTATGCAGCCATTGGCTGTCTGGGGGTTGTTCTGCTTTTGGAGAAGCAACCCATGAGCCCATGATTCAGAAAGCATTTCCTCACCCATCCAGGGGCTGGCTGGGGGCTGCCCCAGAAGCAGGACAGGTCCCACCTAGTCCCTGGCTGGGCAGGCAAGCAGAGAGTTTCCAAGTCCTAACACTGCTCTGCTCCCAGCTCCTGTAGGGAGCCAGGAGCTGAGAAATGCCAGGACAGGGTGTGGCAGAGACCGACTGTCCCAGTGCTGCTCAGCTCTGAGCTCTTGGGGGTAATCAGAAACTGAGTACTGCCAGGACTTGGGGAAGTCATGTCCTATGTGCCCCCCTGCTGTTGGGGCTGCCTAGGAGCAAATTTGGAGAGGGACCTGTAGCAAGTGTGACATGAACTCTCTCCCCTCTCGCGCTCACTACAGGTTCCTGTAACAGCATCCAAAGGAGCCTGACCCCTGTTAACAAATTTGCCCATTACTTTGGGGTGTGCTCATTTATTAGGGATAGTTTCTAGGGTCTTGGTGATTCTGTCAATGTGCTGCTTGTGTTACTATATGGAGCTGTATTTCTCCCTTCTGCAAGCCCTCACCCCCAGTGGAGCTATCTTGCAGGACTCAATCTCAATGGGGCTGGGTTCCTCCAGTCACCAAATCAGTCATACACACACAAATTAACGTGACACGCCTGACCTGGCCGGGCTGATCAGCATGGAGGGGCTGACACCCCCACATGCCAAGAATCAGTTCATAAGAGCAACAATAAAATGTAGTCAGACACAAGCACACAGGTAAACAGAATCCCTCTGAATCCGGCTGGGTGTCCAGCTGACACCCTCATGGGCCAGCATTCAGTTCATAAGGGCACGTCTGAGTCAAACTGGGTCAATCAGCTTGTACAAGCTGATCCCCTTATGTGTTTCAAACTCAGCACGTCCCAATCTTTGGCCTCTTGATGAGCAGACCCCACAATAATTTGGGCTTCACAGGGGAAGCTAAAGGGATCTTTAGCTTAGGTAAAAGAAGCGTTGCTGCACAGCACGGGAGGAAAAAGAAGCAGAGAAGGAAAAATATACCCAATTACTACCAGTTTGACTATAAAAGTTATTTATTGCTAAGCATATGAAATATATAATAGTACTAGTAGTAATAGACATGCAAAAGAAAAACAAACACCAACAATGACAATACTACCCTGGTTTCACTAAGTATTTGGGGAAACTTAGCTCAAGCTTAACTGATACAGTTCAGGTTCAGAAGTTTATGCCTAGAAAGAAGACAGAGAACGCTGGGATCTCACCTAGTCCACGGTACTCAGGCTGCAAAGCTGACAGGCACAGTCTGTAGCACAGTCCTTGAAGGGAGAGATGATCTGTTCTTCCAGCGTCCCAAGAACGACAGGGGATGGTGTCAGCACAGGGGTTTTCTTCTTCTCCTTCTTTCCTCCTGCTTCTACTTCTTTTCCTTCCTTTTCCTCTTCCTCTTCTCCCTCTAGCAGCACACACACTTACAGATTTTTATACCCTCAGTTTAGCTGCTTCGAAGCACCCTCAGTAGTGTAAATCATTGTCTTTTCTATTGACAAGGGGTTATCTGGTTTGGACCATCTCAGGAAACTGATTGATAATCAGGAAACACTTAAGATTAGGGAGTAACCCAAATACTTGGGAGCCAGCTTGAGATTCCTATGGGTGGCAGATATACTGATGGGATATCTCATGGTTTCTTCAGGAACAATAGATAGCTTGCAGCATCAGGATTTTGGATTTTTACTTGTTGTGCACAAGCCTCAGCTTAGCATGACTTTTCCAGATCTTACTATAGTCTTTTAACAGACTTAAAACAATTATTGGGGTGCTCATAACCTTTTGTGGAGAGGACTCCCACCAGTCGTCTCGGGAAAGATATGACAACACCTGGGATTAGGGCTCCAGCAGGCTGGATGCTGTGATGAACCCTTAACCATTGTTCAAATGTTGCCCATACCCCCTCTGACTCGGTCTCTTGCCTCAGCATTCCCTAACCCGGCAACCGAGTTTTAGTCAATCAAGTTTAAATAGGCCTCCCATAGTGGGACCGGGGAATGTACGGCCCGAGATGCCTATTAAACTTAGAGCTGTGTGTGTGTGTCTGGGGGGGAAAAGTCCTTAGCAAATCCAGATTAGAACTGGTCTGATAAATGCTGAGCTGGGTGTGTGTGAACATGGGTTGATTAACATTGGAAGCACAGATTCCCCATCATGCAGCGCTCTCCTGCTTCTCTGGTCCCAGAATTCACTGCAGTCTCTGCTTCAGGCTTTCTGTTCTCCATCTCTCATGTAAATGAATGGTCATCTGGTTCCATCTCGGATGTAAATGAGACCTAGGGCAGTTGTTTCACTCTTGTCACCCTTATTTGGTGAGGGTCTTAGGTGCGTCTCTCACTGCATCTTAATCAGTTTCATTTAGGTGGGGGGGGGGGAGTCCTTTGTGAGTCAGACAGACTGCATCCTGTGCCAGGGTTGCCCAAGAACACAGAGCTGAGGCGTAACACCCCCTAGACACCCTTGCCAGACTGACTGCCCCACCCTGGAGATCCTTGCCATCCTGAACCCCTGCCAGCCTGAGAGAGTCTCAGCCTGGCAGGGGTCTCTGGGGGGGGACAATCTCCAGGCAGGAGACTGGCTTCCTGCTGGTATGGTGAATCAGGAGCAAATTTGCTCCTGATCAGCGTCTGCACGTGCCCTACTGTGTTTTAGCTAATGTGCAGTAAATCTACTAGCTGTATTTACAAGTAGCAGAAAACCATACATTAGCCTATTTTAATGCGCAGTAGCTGCTGCACACAGTTACATAGTGATGCTTTACTGTGAAGTAGATTAGTCTACTGAAAGGTAAAGCATCTTTGTGTAGATACACCCTGTGAGTAAATCCAGATGAGGACACATGTGCCTTTTGCAGCATCCCAAACCAGTTTGAGACACTGCAACAGACGCACTGTAAATGAAAAAATGCTGCATATTTTCAGTGTGGGCTCAAAATTTGATACCTGGATATCCAGGTTTAAAAAAATAATAATAATTGGGGGGCGGGGGGGAGGAGTGAGGCAAGGCACAGTCCCAGACCATGCGCTAAGCTAACCCAGAAGCCAGTTCTCTGGAGAGATGCTCTGATTCCTGGCCAGAGTGTCTCTATGTGCCTCTGCTGCCACAGCATGCAGGGCACACAT